GAAGAAAATTCCTGATGCTTCCCAAGGGCTGGAAGGAGCCAGAGACAGTCTCCCCGTTAACTCCCTCCCATCCTTCCAGGCGTGAACGTGCCCTGCCGTCGTTTCGCCTGGTGTCGCGCTGGATGTTTTGGCAGAAGATGTCAGAGCGAGAGAGCATGCGCTGCCAACGCGCCCAGAAGCTCTGGAGAAACCCTTTAAAAAAATCACCCAGTCTTGAAAAATGTCAAGGAGGGATTCAAGCCTGACACGTGGCGTCCTACCTAAGCCAGTTTTGAAGGAGCTGCCTGTGGGAAGGCGCTGGTGAAAAGATGCTCCTCTAAAAAACTGAAGGCAAATCCACTAAATGGAGAGGCTCAAGGAGCGCCAATGCAAAGAACTGCCGCTTTGCGGCAGAATCTTATTGCAGCATCCGACATGTGATGTCGTGGCTGAGATTCCCTTCGCCACCAGTGCCAAAGTGGCCAGAGGACACTGGGATGTGCATTGCCGCTGGCGGTGCCGCGGGAAGAGCAAGGACCAACCTTCAAAGCGGTTGCAAACCTGTTGGGGAACCCTGGAGTGGGCACCCCTGCTCGGAGCTACGTGACTATCTTTGTGCTTCTCCAATTTCAGGCTGCCTCTTAGTTGGGAATTACCAGTTCCCAAACAGGAGGGTGCACAAAAAGCCAGACCAGTATAGGGGATATATCACAGAATCATCGCGTCGTCTAGGTTGGAAGGGACCTTTAAGATCATCGAGTCCAACCAGTAACAGCGCCAAAAGCACCACTAAACCACGTCCCATGCAATGGTCCTCGCTCCCTAAGAAACCCTAGGGCAAAATTTTGGCAGTGTCGATGTCCAGCCCCAAATCGTGACATTATCAAGATCATACGCAAGAATAACAAGCAGATTATCCTCCCCCTTCCAAGAATTAGATAGCTTCTCAGAGGGAATGAACCTTTTCCCCCGAAGCGAACACCTAAGCAGCGCACAAAGACGCTGAGCTGGGGAGCCTTCAGCTTTTTGAACCGTGGATTTTTAGGTCTCGAAGCCTTCTCAGAGGGAATGAACCTTTTCCCCGGGAAGCGAACAGCTAAGCAACGCACAAAGACGCTGAGCTGGGAAGCCCTCAGCTTTTTGAACCGTGGATTTTTACATCTTGAAGCAAAAAAGGGGGAAAAAAAAAGAAAAGAAAAGAAAAAAAATACATCTTTCTTTGGCTGCTGGATTTTTTTCCCACCCTCTTGTATTGATTAGCTAATGAGCTTCCATGGTAGCACAGAGCTTCACAAACCTGTCACGCATTGACAGATTTCTCATTCCATTTTTCCAGTAGTGTCCACGGCTGAGATAGCCACGGGCTACGAATATTCTGGCAGCTGAGGAATTTGTCAAAATCCAAAGAAATTCTCAGCCAAGCTCACCGCAAAGAAACAGAGCGTCAGCAACACATAATGTGGAAGTTTTGCGCGAAAACGCTCGTTTGAGTTTCGCAAGTTATGTAGCTCACACAGAAGGTGAAATTTTACAATCAATGCCTGATTAATTAGGTAGGAATCCCACTAAAATCATCCTCAAATGAAGGTTGGGAACGTCTCCAAGGCTCCTTCGGACAACGGCACCCAAATTTAGTGTCACGTCGCTCAGGGGAGGAGAAGGAAAATACAACAAAAAAAAAAACCCAACCCCAAAACTCAGTGTTTACATGGAATAATTTAGTTTTGCTGACAACTCCCAAACTTCAAATTGAAGCAGAAATTTCTTACTAATTTATTAAAGAAGCTGAGGGGAGGAGTGGCTGTGTCTTGCTTGGGCTGAGCCCGTAGAGTTGTTCCTTCCCAGGCACGGGGTACGGGAGGACTTGGCTCGGCGCGGACCTTGGCCTCGGTCTGCAAGAATTAGCGATTTCAGTGGGCTGATCCCGGCAAGGGACGTGCTTCGAAGGGCAGCAGAAAGGCCGTGCTCGTGGCAGGGCCCGATCAATCCGTTGACTTTCAGAGCTTTAGCGTTTATGTGGAAGAGAAACGCCAGAACAAAACCAAGCGGTTGATCAATACCGAAGAGCCCGGACACGGCGACGCTTGTGCCCAAACCAAACCGAATCCATCTCGCAACCCTCTTCGCAGCTCGTCTTAGTTGAGGCTGTTTGGGATTGTTAGACGCTCGCTCCTGGATTAGTATTCCGCGATTAAAAAGGTGCAGCGCTGCTCTTTTGAAGTCCCGGGTGCAGAATCTGTTGCCACCTATCCCGCTGCAGAGCCAGGGTAAGAGATAGTTCAGAAATTATAAGTGAGAGACGGATTTGACCTCACGTTTCCTGTTTCAACAGCGTTGATCTCCGCAAATAGAGGCGGGGAGCTCTTCGAAACCCGCGTTAAGCCTTCATTTTTCGAGTTGAAATGGAGGTAGCGGTTTTATAGGGTCTAGCAGCCGAGCTGGGTTTTCATCGGGAAAGATTTGCGCGTTTTATTGGAAGTAGAGGTTTTCGGTTCCACGTCTCTCAGAGCTGGCAAGCCCAGCCTCCCGCGCAAACAGGGGTTCCTCCCTCTCAAGAAATAGTTCATTAAAATCTCAGTAAATTGACTAACAAGGCATTTTTAAAGGAGCATTTTCACAAACACGCTCGAGTTCCTAATGAAGCATTTGAATTCCTCCTTGACATCTGATTTCCTTTCCAGCACGGGGCCGTAGAAAATAATCTGAATTATTACTTCTGTTGCAGTGCCATTTTACTCAAAATATTTTATTCGGAGATTCACATATAATTACCCACCTAATAAAAGGAGCTATTAGGTTGTAAAGATCCTATCCTTTCCATGCTCTTTTAAAGTTATGACCCACTCGAGCTTGAAATCAAAGGCAGAGCTGAATGGAATAATTCATCTGAAACTCTCTTATTGGGTTTTGCAGCCTCCTAACTGATAAATATGCAAATTAGTTCCCTGTTGGTGATTCACCTGCATAAACAGGGATTAACGCTGAATGCAGCTTAAAATTTAGCACTAAAATGTATGCACACAAAAATTTAGTCAATTCAACCAGTTATGGCTGTCAATAAACACCGTAACACGCAGCTGAAGCAAGAGGACCAGGAGAGGGAATCCCTAAAGATGGTTCACAGCATCCCGCTGCTCTCCGCTCTCGGCTCGCTCCTCCCACAGACTACTGCCTGTCTCAACCAGGAAATACTACGCTTGCGGAAAAGCCCTCCTAATTAATTTAGCAGTTCGTTATCGGCCTCTGGGTTCCCTCCCCCGGCCTCGCGGGAAGGACCCAGCGCCCGCCATCCCTCCTCACCCTCTGCCCATCGCCATCGCGGGTGGAGGGGTCCTGGCAGCGCAGCCGTCCGGGGGGACGCGGGGTGGATGGGAAAACAACAGCTCCAGCTGGTGGCCCCAGCGGCGCTTCCCAGTGTCACCATCACAGGGCGGTCTGGCACAAAGGCCACCCATGGTTCTAGTACAATCTTAAGCACGTAACAACCGTGTGTCAGAGAAGATTGCATGTCATGTCCTCTTTTTGCAAGCATACACTGGCTGGCGGGCAGCAGGCCACCAATACAGACTTCCTTTTTTTCCTCTCTTTTCCTTTCTTTTCTTTCTTTTCCTATTTTTCTTACTTTTCTTTTTTTTCTTTCTTTTATTTTACTTTTTTCTTTCTCTTCCTTTTTCTTTTTTCTTTTCTTTCTTTTCCTTTTTTCTTTCTTTTCCTTTCTTTCTTCTCCTTTTTTTTCTTTCTTCTCCTTTTTTCTTTCTTTTCCTTTTTTTTAAATATTTTTTTTATTTTACATTCCTGTTTCTCTGTTTGCCGCACATAAAACATTAACTATGGGAGGATTTCCAGGAACAGCTGATTTCTACAGCAACTCGCTCATCCCCACTGCTCGCGCAAGACAAGCAAGGGAGACGACAAAAGAAAGGAGTAATTTGTCCTGTCGTTTTGTGCTGTTGGTGGGAAAACTTCCAAATTTTTGGTGCGGTGGTGTGATTATTTGCTGTGGGTGTTTTTGTAGTCAGTAATTATGTATTTTTTTTAAAAAAAAAAAAAAAAACCCAAACGAGTGACCTACAACACTGTCCCATTAACGTCATGGTCTATGTTTAAAAAACATACTTGCATGAGGTAAGACTAGATCTATACAAAGAGCTACAAACCTCTACGGAGTAAAACATGAGTTAGTCATGACAACTTGAGCTCTACGAAGACTAGTAGATCAAAACGAGCAATCTGGTGGCATCAGCGATGACTCCGCCATGATGACGTTGTTCGCCTTGCCACGCTTCCATCACTTTAGATGCCAGATCTACAGTTTGATAACATTTCCAACATTATTCTTTCCCTTTTTCCTCATTTTATCATTCCTTTTAGGACTTTGCAGGAATATTCCTTGCACTGAAGGAGTGGTACGGGAGAACAAGATGATTTTATGGGGTGGTGTATGTGGGTGGTAGGTGTGAAATCCTGGTATGCTGCAATGCTCCGGGATAATTATCGCTTCATCAAGAGCTGTTAGAAGGCTGAGCCTGTGATAGCATTGAGTTGCTTCATTAGCCCCTCCAAACTGGCCATCTGTTCACTCAGATCGTCCTGCTCATAAACCTGCAAGTGAGCAAACACAGAGATCAGCGGGCAGCAGGACAGGAACCAAACTCCTCGCACGGAGCCCTGGACGTGGCCCGTGGCAGGAACCTCTCACGGTCTCCCACTGGGACACCTTCCACGTGCAGCCCTTAGGGACCTGGAGCATTTAAGGATGGGTTCACGCATACAGGCTGCATAGCAAAGCCTCTCCAGGCCGAACACATGAGATAAAAACCAGGGGTGACCATGCTGGAACAATATTAAATGTTAAAGACCCTTCCCCAAGTCCCCATTTCCCCAGCTCCCTCCCTTATGTTGGAGGTGTCCATGCTTGGGGGGACCGTGAAAACACTTTTTAGCATCCAACAAAGACATCAAACGCTCATCTAAACATGCCCTCTCCTAGGGCAGGCTGCCGCAGGTCGTTCAGCAATTCACTGAACTTCTCAGCCCTTGCTGGTGGTTGGGAATTTCCACTGTTGTCTTTAGTGGGGCCAGAAGACTGGCCATGAAGATGCTGCGAGGGCTGGAGCCCCTCTGCTGGGAGGACAGGCTGGGAGAGTTGGGGGGGCTCAGCCTGGAGAAGAGAAGGCTACGGGGAGACCTCAGAGCCCCTTCCAGTGCCTAAAGGGGCTCCAGGAGAGCTGGGGAGGGACTCTGGATCAGGGAGGGGAGCCATGGGATGAGGGGGAACGGTTTTAAACTGAAAGAGGGGAGATTTGGGTTAGATATCACAAAGAAATGGGGGCAGGTTGCCTCGAGAAGCTGTGGCTGCCCCATCCCTGGAGGTGTTCAAGGCCAGGTTGGACGGGGCTTGGAGCAACCTGGGCTGGTGGGAGGTGTCCCTGCCCATGGCAGGGGGTTGGAATTTAATGATCTTTAAGGTCCTTTCCAGGTCTAACCATTCAATGATTCTGTGACTGGGAACAGTTTTCAGAGGCACCCAACTGGGCTGGAAGAAAGTAATCCTTTGAGGTATGGTCAAGCGAGAGAATCTGCAGCAAAACCTAAAATTACCACCACTGCACTTATTGTTGGGAACCATGACCTCCAAAATTACCAAGGCAAGAGCAAGAGGAGGGACCTTTTGCTTTCAGGAACTGAGGGGGAGCTCAAACATTAGCTATTTATGTGGGTTTTACAAAGTAAAAGATCTGAGAGCGCTGTATAAGCCCTGCAGTCCCCGAGGCGGGATGGAACGGGCAGCTTAAAAGAGCAGCCACGGAGTCAAGCTTAGAAAAAAAAAATCCTCAAATTTTAGCCTTTCTCCCCAAATTCCAACCACCCGATGAGCTTGTTGCCTGCACTGGTATTGCCAGTAACTGCCCTCACACTTGCAGAGCCGGAGCAGTGTCTCTCCTGGGAGCTAAATGGTGCTGCTGTGATAAAATATGGTACTGAGAGTCAAAATCACACTTTGTGTTGTTATCAAACGTCTTGTGTTAAATTACTCCTTATGCCAGCGATTTCACCACAGAGGGAATTCTGATTCCCATTCCCCTTCCAGTAGGAGAGTCCACGTGTCTTACATCATCCTGCGTCCCCTTTTCCCAGCAAAATGTGGGAATCCTTCTAGGACTATATGCAGAAGTGTATTTTTAAGCCGCTGATAACGACAAGTAGGAATCGAACCCTTTAGCCGGGTGAAAAAGGCAAAAGGATTCACTCACAAGATGTCGGACAAGTCCCCACCTAGCAAAAAATTCTCATGTGCAAGCAGACGAAAAGAGGTGATACACAACATGCATTTAATGTATTTCTTTTTTCTCCTTATTCCTTTTCTTTTGCACTGTTTCATCTTCTGGATCACCTGAGACCTTTCTCTAAGAGGATCTTAATAGGAGTGAAAAGATTATTCTAATTTCACCACCTTTTCCCTTTCACTTATCTACTTCTTCAATGTTATTTTTCTTGCCATTATCTGGTATTACTATATACTCATTTTTCCGGCCAAAATTATTTTTCCCCCTTATCGTGCTTCTCACTCCCTCTTCCTCTTCTCCCACTATCTCCGGGTGCTCAGGAGAGGCTGTGCGAGTTGTCCCGTGGATAATATTAACAGAGAAATGAAGCACTCGCTTCTCCCCTGTATCACGCACGCCAAAGTCCATTAAAGTCAACAGCGAAGTTTTACCGTCTGCCAGAACTTTTTACTGCCTTTCTAATAGCCATCAGCTGCGGCGTAATACCTCGGGTGAGGAGAGACAGATCGTTATCTAAAAATTAAGGTGCAGATTGGGGATTCGAGAATAGAAGGGGATGGGGAGGGGGCTCGCGAGAAGGTGCGCTCGGAAAGAGGGGTCTTACGTTGGCGGAGTCCTCCGTCTGCTTGTGACCCTCTTCTGCGACCTCTGGGGCCGTGGGGACGGAGACAGGCAGCAGAGGTGACCTGGCTTTCCCCGCCAAGCCAAGGGACGCTGTTTTAACCTGAGCCTTGGGGAGGTTAGACCCTGGAAAAAGAAATAAAAGTCATATTGAGGACCTGTAGGGAGGAAAACGAGGATTGCAGTGAAATTTGGGGATTCTAGACAAAACGCAGCTGGTTTTACCATAGTGGGTGGTGTTTTCAGTTGTAAACACACAGTCCCCTTCCCAGAGAGACACTGCATCTTCCTGGAGGAGCATCGGAGCCAACACAAACGCTTTCAAAAAAACTCAACTCAATTCTATTTCACGGGCTCCGCTCCCGAAAGAGCGCTCGCAGTCGCAGCAGGTTTGCAATTTTCTGTCACCATTACTTTTTGATGAAGCATGGTTTGCAAAACCAAAAGTTTTCACCCGGAAATGTAAATTTTCCCGGGAAAACCACTTCCAAATCAGGTATTCCAGGAAGATAACGGAAATCTGGGCTCCGTGGCCCCTGCCTGGCAGGGAACTGTCAGTTTGATGTTGTGTTTAAAGGTGAAAATGAGACCCAAGGGCAGAGAGCAGTGGCCAGGTTGGGGGAATGGCAGTTCATTCTCATGGTTCTCCTCTAGTTTTGTTCCTAATTCCCTCCAGCTGCCAGGAGCCCTCCAGGCGGGTCACCGAAAAAGTCAAAACACAAATTCTATTTCAACTTTCTCCAAAAGAAAAGGTTCTCTCTGACTTTTTATCCCAGTTTGGAAGGAGGAAAAAAAAAAAATCAAAATAGATTTTGATTATTTTTTTTTGGCAGAAAGGGATTCCTCTTTTTAAGCAACTCCTCCTGCCCACCCCATGAAGCTGCGTGGCAAAAGAGGTATCAGCCGCAGTGCTTTAAAGATGCATCAGCTGAGGTGTCTCAGCTCTCTTCTAGAGGCAGTTAAGAATTCTTTGTCTCTTTTAATGCTTCAAAACATCAAAGACTAAAAACCTTTGTCCGGGACAATCTGCCTCCACTCAGCACATGGTGCCTGGCTCTGGGCAAGACTCTGCTGGAGACGTGAGGGCTGTCAGTTGAAAGATGTTGATTTTCAGTACGCTGGGATAGTTTTAAAATGAAAGTTGCCATACAAAGCCCCGCTGAGATCACGGAGCTCGCACATCACAGATTCAAGGCCAAAACCAGGGAGGGTGGTTTCAAGCTTGCTGTCTGCCAGCGCAATCCTGCTCCCCCCTGAAGCCGCGGCTGAAACATCTCCACGACCTGCGTCAAGCCAAACTCATCCCACTTGAGCGGCTTTGGCACTTCTTTCAGCCATCGAGGTCCCCAGAATTTATTCTTCCCACTTTCCCTCTATCGACGTTAAACCACTTTGATGTCTACTTGTACCCTAAGGCGAGTTTCATGGTCAGATCTTTAAACACGCAGATCTTTAGCTGATGCGTGCTTGGCATGGGGCATCACCTACCAGAAACCATCAGATCTCCCCAACCTCCCCACCAGGTCACGGCAGATCCCCTCTGGCACACTTTGGAGCCTCACAGGGCAGGTTTCCATCCCCCATGGGACTTGGGGGCAATTTTTCTTCTGCCCATTCGACTCCCGTTGAAATCAAGAAGATGAATCATAGACAAATAGCGCGCTTTTTTCCTCATATTTCCTCCACTATGACCTTCAGCAAGTCCCCTGCCTTTTGTCTATTAAGAAAATGTGTACCATAATAATAATAGCAACAGCCATCACTTCAGTAGCTGATCACCCCTCACTAAGATGAGTAGACCCTTGGCCATCGCATCAGAATTGGCCCCACAAAGAGAAAAATAGGTCTTGAGACACTCCAGCCATAAAATGTGCATAAAGGAAGGGGTGTTCCAAGGGCGAGCCACGGGCCAGGTTTGTATGAGGATGCCGGTGGCTCTGGAGCTGAGACGTAGGGACCAGGAGCGTGGGAGTTGTCTCCATCCACATGGGACGCACACGGGCTGCCTCCAAAATCCACATCTCGGATCAGAAACCCACCCGGTTTCCACGCAAAACCAAACCGTCTTTTTATGAACCTTAAGTCAAAATGCCTATTAGTTTTCTTCATCGCTAGATTCCCACCTGATTACCTCTCTTTTCTTACAGCTCAGGAACATCCCATGAAAGTGATGCTCCCGAGCCCGGAGCGGCACTGGCGTCCCTCCTGCGGAGGGAGGCAGGCAGCTGCGACGAGAGCTGCAGACTAATTTTCCGGTATTCCAAAGAATTGTGTTTACATTTTTAATTAGTTTAAGGAGCAGAAGAGAGAACAAAATCCCTCCCGAAAGCCGGTTGCCAACAGCCTGTTCATTAAAAGTTCCAGTAAAGAGCTGCCAGACAGGGGCAGGGAGGGAGAGACTCACCGCCCGCCTTTCCGTGAGGCTGAGAATCGCAGATAACGCCCGTTTAGCTGAAGCTGTGAACGTGCGAAAGCTCAAGACAAGCTTAAAAAAAGATCGCCACCAAGATACGCTCACTCTTCCACCTCCAGTTTTAATAGCTAAAAGACTTCTTTAATAACTGGGCCTTCAAGCTTCCCGGTATCTCACAGTAAGGGGAGAAGATACAGCCATCCCCAAAGATTCAATCTTTTAAGCGCTGCACATTCAAATCAGTTTTTTAAGAAAGGTAATGTCATTTTCCCTTCCATTTCTTAATAAAAAAAAAGCTTCTGTCCAAAGAAGTACGGTGGGGAGGGGGGGATACGCACACACCGACGCTCGGCACAGGTTGCATCTTGTTTGATTTTCATGGAAGTAAATATTTGATGTGTTGGTGAGGAGTTGATGCGAAATGCAGAGCAAGTTGCTATTGTAATCCTCTAAATCCCGGGGTAAAAATCATGTTTCTCCTATGTAACTCATTAATTGTCGTAATTGGACTTAAAGACCCACTCTTCTGCACAAAGACAGATGTTCCCTCCTGGATATTGTTAATGAGAAGCCATAAGGATGATTAGCAAGTTCCGTTTGTGCGTCTTTTTGCCCTTTAGCTCGAGAAAGCAACAGGCAAATCGTAACGCTGATAACCAACACGGAGCTGAGAAACTCTTCCTTACGGATCTCAAGTTCTGCTGCAAGTTTGACAGCAGTGACCGCTCTCCACGGCAATGTCCGTAATACCTAATTAGTACAAGATTTGAGCCCTCTTCCCCCAAAGGCCGTTAAAAAGACCAACCGGCGCTCTCGAAGAGAATTCTTGATGCAGAAGTTTGCCATGCTAAGTAAACCAATTTATGCAAATGAGTAGCTAATTAAAATAAAATCACTTTGGTTCTCAACGTTCTGCAACTCAGCGGCAGTCTCACAAGTAAAAAAGAGGAGACCTTGGCTCTGAGGCCGCAAGAGGCAGAAGATGACAACACCGGTCAGGTGCGGAACTCTGCGTGGCCCTAGCATGGATTAACTGTTTAAAAGTTTCATTTTCTCAGTAGGGTTATTAAACGCTTCCCTGGATCATTAATTGGGTAATATATGGCTACCAGGTGCAAATCTCAGCTACCAAGGCCCCCCCTGGGCTCACTGCGGTATCATCCTCGTTTTTTCAGGAGCGCTGCACGTCAGCGTGATCCCACAAGAAGCCAAAAAGAAGCGGTTTTCTAACTCCATCCGCATTTGCGCACATCAGGCTACACGTCATCACGTTGGACACCAAGTAAAACCAACAGAGCATCCATCCTCCTGACAGCAATACTTGGGGAGAGCTACTTGGCACTATTGTCTTTTGAGATATCTCGAATGGGACATGAGATGATGCACTCAGCCAGGTGGGAACAACTCATTGCAGGGAGAGGACTCAGGGTTTCTGCTGGTCATGTTGTAGGGTTTCCAAAGGCCAGTCCCTACCTGCAGGGACCACCGTGAGCTGGAAACTCAGAAAGTGTCAAAAAATGCTGTGTTCATACTCAATGGATTTGGGGTCTGCGTCACACTTGAATAGCAAAAATTCTGGTGTGATTCATGTGTTACAGGCATGCTGGGTGATGATGCAAAAGAGTGATAATGGAAAGAAAGAGCTCAAGTGGAGAAAATGGAGATGAATGCAAAAATTGAAAGGAGCTAACTCATGGAGAGACAGCAAGAAGTCATGCTCAATGGAGAACACTGGAATAGAAGGTGGCTACCAGTGGAGTTCCTCAAGATCTGGGCCATCTTGTCTAGACCGTGCTTTTGCCGAGAAAGGTTGGACCAGATGATCCCTGAGGTCCCTTCCAACCTGGGATTCTAGGATTCTGTGATTCTATGATCTGGATTGAGGACCGATTCTTAACATTTTGATACGTACAAGAGGTGTGTGACTATGAAGTCTATTAGTAGCAAAACCTTGGAAATACAGCTGGAGCTGGAGTAACACGAAGAGAACTGCAGGGACCTTTCTGCCTATCTGCTGCTCATGCCAACTTTCGGACTTTCAGAGCAAGGAGGTTAGACCCTGTATCACATCCCTCCAGCTGAACATCACATCGCTTCAGCTGTTTAAAAGGGGGGGATGAATCTCTGCTGGTTCTTTCATCTCCCTCAATCACCTGCGGAAAGAAGTACCTTCCAAAGTCTGCAGAGAGGTTGGAAAAGGATTCAAGTTATGTGAGGGGAGGTTTAGATTGGACGTTCGGAAACATTTTTTCACTAAAAGGGTTATTAGACATTGGAATAGGCTGAAAGGGTTATTAGACATTGGAATAGGCTGCCCAGGGAGGTGGTGGATTTGCCATCCCTGGAGGTGTTTAAAAAAAGGGTAGATGTGGTGCTTAGGGACATGGTTTAGAGGTGGTTTTGTCAGGGTAGGTTGATGGTTGGACTTGATGATCTTAAAGGTCCCTCCCAACCTTAGCGATTCTATGATTCTATGGTTCGACAGATGAATTGTCTTTCAGAAGATCCTCTCTCTCGCCTTTGGCTGCACAGTGAGCTTATGTGACTGGCATGGAGCAGACACCTATTCATCAAAAGTCTAAAATTAGCCAGGAATGAGTCAGATCTCCGAGAAGAAGGAACAGGAAGTTTTTTCATAAATTCTGCTGGGTCTAACAGAAGGAAAAGAGGGAAGAGGACAGCCTGGATGTTTCTGATTTCAAGCCTACAAGTG